CAAATACTCACTAAGAATCTCAACCGTTAGTGACATTGAGTGAGGAACTAACTTCCCTACTTGTTCAGATAAACAGAGAGACTTTGTGAACGTACCTAGTCCTGCATCCTCTGTCATAGTTCTCGTAATTTTAAGAATTGGTCCATTGACTTGGTACATTCCCAGACGTTTCGTCGGCATCGTCAGTGAAAGGTACTATCTTTGTCATAAAGTTACAACGTATTATTTGTCATCTTGTTAAGTTGTAACTGTGTCAGCAATGGCGCCTCTCACTGACGATGCCAGTAAAACATCTGGAAATGTATCAAGTCAATGGTCCGATGCTATAAATCAAGAATACTATGGCAAAAGACGCCAACCACAGAAATTTGTTCTACATTCACACTCGCTACTTTTCTACTCCCCTTTTTTTCTTTTCTGTCCTACTCAAGTAGGCTCTGATGCCAGCAGGCCAGTTTCCGCCCCAACAGGCGAAGGGGTGATGGAATCCAGCTTCGCCATTGGACCTCTGCATATGACTCAGCTCCCAGCCTCGACGCGTCCTTTAAAGCCTGGCAGAGACACTGAGATTGAGATCAACTGCAAGGATTGTGAGGGCCTTGGTGTCAGCTTTATTGGCGGCTCTGAAACGTCTCTGGTTGGTTCAGACCTTGTGTTTTAGCGGACATGGCTACCATTGTATATACATTGGTTTGATTCTACACGAAATAAGCATTCTTCTTAGATTTTGTTTCATCTATTTTCTCATACCATACTTGGTTGAATGGATAGGTTTCTAAAAGGTTTTAATAACTTTTTTGCTTTTCTATTCTTCAAAGGCCGTTATTTTCGAGCTTTGCCAATATACGGTATTGGATAGAAAGCCCTGTTCTGAGTAGAAAACTGACGTCGTGAACTATTTACGGGAGAGTTGTACTCTTTCTGCTGCCATATCTCAAGACTGCCATATCCCGGCAATTTCGTTAGGAGGCAAAATGGCTCAAACATCGGTTTCATTTGATCTGGTAGGCTTTGCATCTTAGCGAAACAGGCTTGATGCACAAAGTTTGCTAATTTATTGAATTATGCTATCTGAGGTGCAGTTACATGAGGCGTCTGCTTACTTTGCCTTCTTAGCAGCAAACGGCGTGTTGGCATGGTAGTATGTACTCAAGTCCTTTTCACTTCTAACCTGGATTTCCTCAATCACAGGTTCGGCTTATTGTGAATGCGGCTAGACTGCGACCGGCTGGTTTCGCACCTTTCGACTCACACCACCTACGAAGTTCGAAAAGAAGAAATGTATGCTCTTCGCAGACTTATTGAAAGGAGTCTTTCAAAACAAATGGCTCGTCTGGAGCCTTCAGTCTTGAGCAAACGTCTACAACAGATACGTGAAGGTCACTTAAGCTGAATTTATTTCAAGTACACAGTTTAAAGCAGGGCCAAGAAATTGACCCAGCGCAGGTAAGGGCGTGCAGAGGACGAGCACTTATGAGTCCGGTGTCAGCTTACTTTGACGTGTATACGAAATTTTGATGTTTAATGTGTGATTCGAGGTTACTATAACTACTTGAATAAGAACTTGACTCAACCTAGGTCGCTTAAGGTGATTTAAGTAGTGATAGTTGGATTTATCACAAATTGAGTCGGTTTCACGATGCCATTGAGTTTTATTTCAAATAAGGCCTTTATATCCCGGCTGGCTCAGAGATTCCACTTCACTCAGATCTCTTCATCCCATCTTTCGGAGTTGGTCACATGTGACCTTCAAGCCAAAATCACACTTAGAATGGGATTTAGTCACATCTGTTCTGTGAGGCACTGACACTCGTGGCCTTTGCATTCAGGATCCAATCTTGGATTTGGGCGAGCTCTAATCAGAAATCCATGCTGGTTGGGAATAACATGTGAGAGGCAAAGCATAGTAAAATTTAATCATGACTTGGGGCCTACGCATTTTATTATGGGTAATTCCACTATCATTCTCTGCGTCTTTTTAGGCGACTTAAGAAGGCGGACTCTCTTGGACGAATATTCTGTTCGCTTCGATTCATAACTTAATGCGGTATAGGCTAAAATGGTGGAAAATAAAATTTTCTGGCCATTTCAGCTTTAAAGCTTTACGATAGAAGATATAATATACTGTAACCTCTTGGAGGATAATGTGATTCGAACCCCTAGCTTATCATGGCTCTTCCGCTGAAGTATCTACGTAGAATTATATACATATAGAGAAGATTATAAAATTATCATTAAATCTTGATTAAGAGTTCAAGACTCCCTAGGTTGCGACTAGCCTTTTGATAGTAAATCTGTTATAACAAATTTATTAATCTTAGGCCAAATTAGATAATGTAGGACTGTTAATTAACTTTTCCTACAAAGAAATAAGAAGTTTTTGTCTCGATCCTGAATCATTTGTGTCAATCAGCAACGTCATTTAGTAGCCTCGAAAGGCAACGCCGTCCCTACTCGACATAGCCACGTATTCAATAGGGTGACAGGGCAGATTAAATTTTTGAGACAAGCCTTATATTTATAGTGTTAGTTAGACCTCTTTTTCGGAACATGGTCGAAGCGTCAGGGAGGTCTTGTGGAATGTACCTAACCCCGTGTCCTCTGCCATTGTATTCGCATTTCCAGCATTCGACCAGTGACTGGATACGTTCTCAAACGTTTGACACTCCAACAAATTTGTGAAAACGAGGTCGGGCCAATACTATAAAGCTAAAGGACACTGTCATCTTGGTCTTCATATCTACGCTCATATTTATAGTTTAATTGTTTTCATTAAACATGATATCATGACTTACAAGCATAATGAGCATGTTTCGCGACTATCATAGTTCTGTTAAGCTTCATATCGTGTGAAATTGTTTAATAGAGAGCTTTGTACATTATTCTTACTGGAATACAATTTTATACTAAATAAAACTCATCTCAGCGCACACACAAGTACCACACTTCCGTACTAGCATTAGATCCTGAATAAGAGTAGTCCTAAAATGTAATTACGTTTATAGGTAATGCCGTTGATTTTAGTGGAGAAGGTAAATTTGCCTCATAGATACAACCCCACTATGTTTGCGAATTTAAAGAAGTCTATTTATTATATGTATTAACTATATTTCGTTTAGGTGAGGACATACTGGTAATTGAATTTTCCTACAGTAATGTTAATAGACCTTACGTTCAGATAGCCTTGCTTCCCAAAATGTATTCTCATTAAGGCTATGCAAAATGCAATGGAATCGTAGAGTCTACTCATATTATTGTAAAAAATTCAACTACTAATCCTTCATCACCTTAATGAAATTAAGTAACCGCATCTCATGTATGGTCTACTGGTAGTCTCGAAAACCTAGTTATAAACGAAAAATTATAGCCGCCTAGTTTGTCTTGAGAGCCACATCTGACCTGGGACCCTTGTTGTATGTGTCAGAGTTTTAACTTGTTGCCGCTTGACGAGAATAGCTCGGATTCAAATCCCGTTAGGGGTGCTAGTGAAACCTGTACAAGGTCGAAATTGCATTCCAACAGAGGTGCTTAAGTATTTCTGTGGGAGAGACAATGGGAACTTCGATGGCATCCTGAGGTACACTCATCCCCTTGAGGCAAATGTAAACTATCAGACTAGCCTCATCTTAGGCTCTTGGGCAGTCCTTCTTGTTTATTTACTAATGGCAAGGTATCGTCAGCGTCCGTTCCAAGGTCGGATTGTTCTTATATCTTTCTCTGAAAATCTCCCAAACTAGATTAGCCCAGGCTTCATCTCGTTGGTACGCTCGCCGATGCAAGATGATTGATGAGCGAATTGGGTCTGGGTTAAGGGCAAGACTCCCGATAGTATATAAGCCAGCTGGGTTTATGCCGCTATGAACTGGGATCAAGTTATGTCGATCGAACAAGAACAGCCGGGCTCCACCTAGTCTAGTAATCATTATCGTGCTGTTATGGTACATATGCGTCCATGTTATTATGCTTGTGTAAGAACTTAGTTAACTTTGGTCACTTAGGGATATTTAAGGACTGATACCTTATGTTTTCTTAAAATAAGACAAGTAGGCTCACTTGTCTACATGATGTCATGTAGACTAGAGCAATAATATTAGTTGCAATTGAATTTCAGTTAGGGTGACTAAGCTTCTAATCAATAATTATTGATACTCTCGAATACGATTCACTTCGAAAATAAGTATACTTGTTGTAGAGACTTTCATTTTGTGTATCCACATGATGAAAAGGTTCGCGACGGCCGATTCCCGCTGTTCTGCAGCCGCCTGCTTTGCTACGACGTTTAGCCTGACGCAGTCCACGAACATTCGCCCTCGTTTCTGGTGAGACCTGGTTGAGTTTTCGTCCATCATTTGACTGACATCATCAGAGATGGAATTCATTCTTGTAAAAGTCTCAAGTTACAACTAATTCATGAAGGCTATTTTGCTCTATCATATATGCTGTATATAATCATAACTAAAGACGAAAATATATTGTTATCGATTGGTGGATACATAGATAAATAGATGGATAGATACACGTAGAATGATTTGGTTGATTATTATTCATATTGGCCACATAAATACTGACATACTCAAGTATCTTTACTAATATGAAAGAGAGTTAACTACATCATTCTATATCTACCTCTATCTATAGATATATATTTACGCCTTTAGCTACGATTATATATTAAATGTAAGATAGGGTCTGATAGTCTTCTTGTCTTAGTGTTAACTCGAGACCTTCGCAAGAATAAGTCCCAGCTCTGATGATAGCCATATGATGGATGAAAGCTCAGCTCGTGTTTACCAAAAATAGGGAAGATAACTCGTAGACTGGGTCATCATGAACTTCGCATAAAAATCAAACGGTGGCAGAAAAGCGGCACTCGGCCGTCGTCTTCTGGTGAGATCAACCTATGAATTGCTCTACGATGAACTCTCATATGGAATGCAAGTCTCTACAACACTGTTTGCCCAAGAGCTTCATCACAATCTAATTACTCTTTGTATCTGTAAGTGTGTTTGTCTTTTGGTATACTCATATGCATATGTACGTATGAATGGATCCGCCGAATTCTAGAGCCACTTGATCGTTCACGAAGTCTTTCCTGAAGGAGCTGCAGCTCGTGATGGTCGACTCCGGCCCGGGGACCAGCTGCTTAGCGTCAATGGTGTTTCGTTGTCTGGCCAGCCCTACCTGATTGTGCTCGAGTGTCTTAGCCAAGCTGTAGCCAAGGCTGTTGTCGGTCAGTCACGAGCCGCGCCCATCACCACAGCTGCCAACCAGACCTCTAACAGCCATGTTGCCAACGCCGTGGTCGCTCATCGCTCCTCGCTGGCGTCGAGTACGCCTGACACAACGACACCACCATCTGGTGGCAGCGGCAGTGGCATTGGTGCTTCGACCCCTGTCGTCACTGAAACTTCACAGTACTCTGTACTTTTGTTGCTGCATCGGCTATCTGAGCCACGCGACAAATGGTACGATCAGGAGGAGACCGTGGAGCTGGTGAAAAAGCCCGGACGTGGCCTGGGCATCTGTATCACTGGCAGATGTTGTGTCTGTCGTGAGGAGTCCTTGGACGAGGCCAGTCTTGCAGACAGTGAGAAGGAGAACGCCCATGTCGGAACAGCCACGGGAAATAGAGTTTTACAGAAAAAGACGGATATGATCAGGCCGCAGCAAACCACCGTCTGCCAGCACAAGATGGGGGTTTTAATTTCAGAAACGGTAATTCATAAAGTGCATTCATTCTTAGATCACACATTTATATGTAATAATTATTAGAGCTTGAGCTTGGTTTCTTGAGCTTAACGAAACACGCATTTGGCATTTTTAAATCAGTAAATTAACTATATTTGCAAAATATTTAACTGAGTAGACGCTCAAGCTGTCATTAAACTTGTTGTCCTTTATCCCGAGTATTAAGACCTAGGCGAGATCGAAACTGCAGTCCATTCTAATTAAGGATATCTTTTGGAAAGCAAGGCTATGCGAAATTCATTGGAAAGCTTGAGATCTAATCACATAATTGTGGAAAAATTCAATTATCGCTACTTTATCATCGCATGCGACCTCGGGGGAAAACGTTAAATAAAAACAAACATTCAATAGACTTTATATAAATTAAGAAAAACTCGGCTTCGAAGAGCTCTTAATAAATTCGTTTTTTCATTACTTCTATTTCTTATGGAACAGCTGAGGGAAGAGGTTTGTTAGTTAGCCTCCTCGGAAACCGAGGGAGGAATGCAATGAGGTTATGGGAGGAAGTCCTCAGCTCACCTACCTCGTCTCCGGTGCATCTCTACTGTTCAGGGATTGGCTTCCTCAAAGACTGGGTTTATCTATTCCACGAGAAATCTCATGGTTTGGCTTGCCAGTTCATGTTTATAGATGCATGATATGTCTGCTGGTGTGATGCCAAATGGCGGCAGATGACATGTTAAGGGGTTGCAGTTATGATTGGACAGTTGGATCCTCGGCTAAATCACATGAGCTATTGTTACTGCAACATTGACACGAGTAATAGTCTGCGTTTACACATGTGTGCATCACTTGTTATCCGTAGGTATGAAGAAAAACTGGGTTTTGAATAATCTCTTAGTGATATATTGTGACATGACTCTCCATTTCGGAGGGAAAATGAATAGAAAGGAATTCGGGATGTGGTCTCACTAGAAAGTGATGACGGGCTGGTAGAAGAAGAATTTTCCCACAATGATATGAGTTGAGCTGACGTTTCCATTGCATTTCACATTGCCTTGCTTTCCCAAAAGTTGTTCTCATTAAGTGTGGACGGCAGTTTCGACCTAGCATCGGTCTTATCAGCACCCTCAGCGGGAGTCGAAACGCAACAGTGCAGGATGGGAGCTTGACACACTAACCACTCGGCTACACTGCCACGAGCGCCTTTTGGGCCACAGGGGAAATGTGAATTTTCAAGAAAGGCCAGGCCTTTTTGCCATATCATACTGGTAGTCATGAAAACAATACTTAATTCGAAAAATAGAAGATGGTAGTAAATATGGGGGGAGTTTGTTATATGGGGCAGGATAGACAATTGGACCATTCTACTCGTTTCATGATTTTTCCTTCCTGTTAGTTTGCTGGAAAGTTGGGTGATCTACTGAGGAAGTAGAATATAAAAACAATGTATAAAGAGAAATTAACACTTTCTTCAGTAGTTCCTTCGTTTAGAGAATTTTCAAACCCTCTTTCTAGATCAGGCTGCTACAAGGTTTTCTGCTCATGTGGTAGGGTCTAAGTGGGGAAGAATTGCCAAACCATCCAGAAGAGACTATGAGAACACAATACGGCTTACAAAGGTCTATGATTCCACAAATCTGAGCTCGCTGAACACATGCCGAATACAGGACACTCAATAGACTGGTCCAAAACACAAAGTTTTGCAGGAAGAGCCAATGAACAAGAGAAGGAGGCTGGATTAACCTCGAGTCTAGCTAGGACTGTCACATTTCCGGTGACATGAACAATACATACGCACAATAGACAATAGCGCATGCCAAAACATCATTAAACATTAGAGGATCGTGCACTAGTCTATTTGCGTAATGAAACAGCTGCCACCAAAGCCACTTCCGGTTGATGAAGTAACTTCACCCATTTGCAAGCATGTAGGGTAAGGTTAAAGTAGCCAACCAATTCATGGGATGCCTCATTAAGATCGTCAAGTTAGGCGTATAAAGAAGCGACTAAGGTTGCAGCCGGCTTTTCTTTTGGTTCAGTATATTTTTGCTTTATTTCGTGAAGTATGGATTCCTGCTCTGATGATGTCTGGACAGAGGAACAGACGAAAGCCTAGCACAGTTTCATCGGGATTGAGGACGGTGAGCCGATGACTTCTCCGCACAATTCAACAGTCTTTCCTACACGACATTCCTCCTTCAGTTGTCGGTGAGACCACATCACGAATTCTTTCCTACCAGCTTTCCCTTTGAAATGGCGAGTCATGTCACAACTTGCCAATCACGTTAAGTTGGAGGGCCATAACGAGATTATAAGCTAATGACTGAGACCTCTACAGAAACTTCCAATACTAGGGTTGTATTTCATACTGTTACAAACTGGGGGGTGGAGAAGTGGAAAATTAGTATTTAAACGAATATATAGGGTCTGCCAAAAAGACACTAAGAAGGAGTCCCACTTGTTAATAATTAATGTTTAATGATTGATGGAATATCATAATTTTTATCACCAATAAATGCGAACCTCCCAAACCTGGAAGTTTTCAAAATTTATTTCATATATATTTATGCTATTTTTGTAACAGACTGCTGTAGGTAAGGCTTGAATCCAGCTTTCGAGGGTTTCAAAGCCTGCATAATTTTTTTCCACTTAACTTCCCCTTTCTAGGTTCTCAAATCTACTTGATCCACATATCTTAGGTCATTCACTCTCCTATTCTTAAATGATAATTTTTCACGGTTATCATTCAGTGAAACAACTTGTAGCTCAATGTAAATCCTATTCACTTTGGAGTAATTGTCAGTAAAACCTTTGAGTTTTAGCTTTATCTTCTTTCTTGATGCTTAAACCCAAATTCCTAAGTTTTCTACTATCCTTAGTTTTCAACTAACTCTATCCTAGACCTTGCTTGCAGCGTAGGAAAGTCTTTCATGCTAGAATTGTCAGACAATCTCTGCTATAATCTGGCTTTTGTATTCACTTAAGAATGTAAGTTGGTAATGTTTTTCCAAAAATAAAATTCATCTAGATAATGATAAAGCCTCTAGACTTTAAATTATATCAACATCCAGAAATCGTTATAAGATATATTTAGGTAAAGAGTCAACAATTATATTTAAAAATTTTACGATGAGCTGCACACATTTGACGCTTAATCGTAAATTGCACGAATAAATACGAAGTTCGTCCATAATTGTTGCAAATAACTACATGACTCAATTAAAATGTTGCCTAATTCAAGAAACACTTCTAGTTAGGTAGATGCATGGCCACTGTGTCACTTGTGAACACGGCAAAGAGAGTCCGGATAATTTCCCTAAATTAATTAATAGAATTGGAAAATAATGATAGTCTACCCTTTTTGGATGCTCCAGTTCGTATAGAGGGAACAGAATTGGGTAAGGATATATGAAGTCAACGCACAAATGCGGGCCTCCTTCCTAATCATACTTATGC